TTGGCGCAGGAATCCTAGATACCTAAGGATTCTTGTATAGCTTAATGCGAGTTTTATTCTCCTATTTTGTGTAGGACGTTTCCCATCACTTTCCCACATTCCTAGCTAGCACTATAAAAGGGTGTCTTTAGGTATTTTTAAGATGGAGAGAACATTGAGAACAAAAAATTCTCAATAATGTAGAGATTAAGAGAGATTGAAAGAGGCTTAGAGAGAAGAACCGGAGAGAAGATCATCATCAACTCCAATAATCTACTCAAGCTTTCCTAATTAAGTTTTTCTTTTCCCTTATTATTTGTTATCATGAATGCAATGATGTTTTTATCTTTATTCATGGGTAACTAATTCTTTTATGATTGAGGGTGATTTCAAAACCCTAAACATGTCTTGTGATTAATAAAATCTATATCTTTTTATCTTTTTATCTTTTGATCCTTCTTTGATTATGTAACTTATTCTTTGTGAATAGGGTTTAAATAGATTATCTTAATTGTTTAAGTGGCCAATTAAATCGTTAGGATTAATCTATGAGTAATACTATACATATAACATTTCTCATACAACATTATGTGCCAAAATATGATTGATTGGTTTTTAATTAAAATTAAACTTTCATCTAATCATCTTTTGTCACATAATGTTCACTACAATATTATGCATTTCTAGCCATGGCATTCATTGTAGCTAAAAGTACAAATTTGCGTAGCTAAATGGTTTAGCCACAAATGCAATTTTCTGTAGCTTATCGTAGCTAGAAGTGGTGCAGCTAAAAGTTAGCTATGTAACTTTTTGCTTACGTAGCTAACAATTTATATTTTTTGCTATGAATGAGATTAATATGTAACTAAAAAATTAAATGTTTTTGCCATAACAATAATAAGCTTGCAGCAAAACCTTTGTCTTTATAGCCATGAAGAATAGTCTGTATAGCTATGTTTGCATTTTAGCTACACAAATATAAATTTATAACTAAATCTTGAAAATTCCTGCTACAAAAATAATATCCATATTAAATATATTAACCTTTTGACTACGTGACCACTAAAATCGTAACTGAATAAAAAGGTCATGTGCCCCATATATAGTGAAATTGTAGCTAAATATATATATTTTTTTTTTTGCTACAAAAATATAAAAGTCATATCTATATATAGAAATATATTATTATGGACATAGTTGTAAGTAATTGATCTACCTATGCAGCGGAAAAAAAAAATTCAATCGGTAAATCAATTACCTTTCTTTGCCAAAATCCGAGTATAGATTATACCGTTTATATGTTCATAAACAAAAATCTATATAAAGTAAATCCATTCAAGGATTAGAATACTTATGTACATTCGGAGGCTCCTTCGAATATCTCTGATTTTGGACACGAACACTGTTCACCATCTACTGTTCACGTCTACTGTTCACATGATTCTTCGTTAATCAATCCAAAGTAGGATTGCNGAACTCTTTAGGAATACAGATTTGAATAATGTAACTAGTGTTGACGATGAAATTGAAGGTGAATAATTTAATAAAAAAATTATTTAATTGTTTATTTGTGAAGCGTGAATGTGTGAAATGTGAATATTATATTTATGTTAAAAATTAAAATTAACTATTAATTTATTATTTTTTAAAATTAATTAAAATTTTAGAAACTTACTAATCAACCCCTTAAAAATACTAAAAACCCCCTATACAATTTCGTTTTGCCCCCAAAATATAAAAAAAATTGAGGGGGGAAAATAAAATTTTCCAAACCCCATGGGACCGGTCCTAGGACCGATCCTGGGCCCATAGGACCAGTCCCGACCAGGCCTAAGGCCTAGTCCGGGTCCTGGTTTTTCTCATGGGCCTGGGACCGGTCCCAGGCCCATGAGAGACTAGTCCCATTTGGGACCAGTCCCAAACGGGCCCGCAAGGGACCGGTCCCTTGCCTAGCTCTAATTTTAGCTGCACAAACATAAATTTGTAACTAAAACTTGAAAATTTTTGCTACAAAAATAATTTCCATAGCAAATATATTAACATTTTAGCTACGTAACCACTAAATTCGTAACTAAATAAAAATATTATTTGCTATGGACATATAAAAGTCATATCTATATATGAAAAGATATTGCTATGGGCATATTGTGTTAATAGCTAAACATTGAAATTACTTGCTATGAATACTTTTAATTTGTAGCTAAATATTATAATTATTTGCAATGGAACAAATAGTTTATATCAAGAATTTATAATTTATTGCTTCGTTTAAAATTAATTGTAACATATATTACTGTAATTAACAAATTTAATAATAATTACAAATTTATAGCAATATTTTTATATTAAATAGATAATATGACGTAATAAGAAAAATTATAATATAAAAAATAAAACATGAATAAAGTCATTTTCAACCAAATAATTGTCTACTTATAAAATCTTTCATCCTAGTAATTTAAAATGTTATCAACTAATTTTTTTTTACAAAATATAAATGCTTCAATGTCATTACTACTAGCACCAAAACTTCCTTATTAACCTCAATGTGGTTCCTAACAACCAAAATGAGACCACCATCACTGCTGTTTCATTTGTATGTTATAACAGTCACATCATCCTATTGCTTCTTTAACAATTTCTCCGTCTCATCATTTCTCAGGAACTAAATTTTCTTCCTCTTACCCCACTTGAGCATCCCTCTACTCTTAAGCTCATTCCAGCACCGTCCTTTCTTGGAAGGTTCCAATAAGACATTTTCAGGAATCTCAACAGGTGATGATGAGAGTCTACTGTAAAGTGGTAGTTCATGACCGACTTCCTCGAGTTCCATGGCATACTTTTCGTCCAGTGAAGGCATCTTTGCCTTGAGCTCTTTTTCAATCTTCCTGTTACTCAAGTGTGTGACTATCTGTATGCGCTGAGAGAGAGTAATAAGATAGATGTGCTTCGTATTAATACAAACTGGGATAAGTATTAAGTACTTTTCTGCCCAAACCAAGCATTTTGCGACGTCATTTTAATTTACCTACAAAACGATAATATTAATTAATAATAAAAATGAATATTCAGTTTACCTATTTGACTGAGTGCAGAGAATAAAAGTGGAATGCAAATTGCATAATAATTATGTTTAATGATACATTATCTAAGACTAACAAAAAGCCATACTTCTTGCGAACTTTCACAAGGTCAACCATTGGTGCGAAGTCTCCATCCATACACTATTAGGATTTTCAGTAGTAAAAACATTAAAAAATAAATAAATAACACAACATATCATGTCAAACTAAAAATAAGAGCACTAATAAGCAAACAGCAGATTCATGACATTAATTTTAAATGCCAAAAAAACTCAATGAGAACTAGAAGATGGCATAAATGCAAACCAGATATCTGCCTTAACGATGACATATATTCAATCCTCTGTAGTCATGGGAATCATTATATTCCTTTGTCCGATCTTAGCTTACCCTATGAACCATTACTAAGAGGCTATAATTTTTTGTGCACAAGTAATAACAAACCTTTTGTAAATGGTTCAGATAACCATTTCGTTTGAATAAAAAAGTCAATCTATTTTTTTTTTTTGAATTTTTGTCAAAAACAAATATCCAAAAGTTGTATTTGTAGAAAAGAGCATTTTGCATTCAAGATGCCCTTTTCTTTCGCTTTCTACCCCAAAACCCATCCCTAGCCTAATCCTTCTGCACTTTCCTCCTTTTCCAACTACAATCCCCATTTCCCAAAAGTTAAAAAGTTTCAAATTTCAGGCAAATTCATATCTATTTAGATTTTAAACAAAAGACAAACCGATCTGAGTTTTCCTCGTAACCTTATGACAGACACAAAATGCTAAGAAAAACATAGGAGAAAAATTAGAAAGTGTTAGGATCCCACATTGAAAGGGAAAAAGGTGGGCATGTGGATTATAAAGGCTTGGGCACCCTCCCTTGGTAAGCCGGTTTTTCAAAGAGAGTTCTATCCAAGCCCATAAAAGACCCATGGCCCAGCCCACATTGTTGAGTTATTAGAGTGGGTTCCTATTAATTGGTATTAGAGCATGATCTTGTGCCTATGTGGCAACGCACGCATGGCAGGCTGACCCATGGCAGGCTGACCTTGGGCCAGGGCTGCTACCCCGAGAAAGGGCATGGAGGTCCGAGGGAAAAGGGGATCCGGGTAGTCACCCAAGGGGTAAAGAGGCCAATGGGGGTAAAGAGGCCAACATGGACGTCGGTTGCGGAAGCGTGGTGGAATGTTAGGATCCCACATTGAAAAGGAAAAGGGTGGGCATGTGGGTTATAAAGGCTTGGGCACCCTCCCTTGGCAAGTCGGTTTTCCAAAGAGAGTTCTACCCAAGCCCATGAAAGACCCATGGCCCAGCCTACATTGTTGAGTTATTGGAGTGGGTTCCTATAAGAAAGAAAGCAAATAACAATAGCGCATTAACTCAATTGAAATATGTAAGGCATTTGCACATAGAGCCAACTACAAGTCCCCTTTCACCCACTCATGTCTTTGGTTAAACCTCTGAAAAGATTAACAATTTTCCCATAAAGCCTTATTACAACATCGAGAAGAAAAGAAAAACAAAACAAATAAAACAATAAATGAAGAGCAGTAATGCAAAGCTTGTAAAATCACATGAAGTGCTCACCCTTTAGCCTCTATAATTTACTAAATGAAATTCACATTTTAAGCATTGTAACTCATGAACCAAACAAGCAAAACTTTACAGAAGACATATCAAAATAGTGACCTCATCTTTTGTGGCCATTTTTGGTGGTTCTTTAAGCCGCACCAAACGGTGCTTAAATAGCTATGTTTAATCATAGCATAAAGCATTCATATCACAATGAGATAATTCTAAACAGAAATTCATTGAGTTCACAAAGGAAGTGAAACACGACACATATTTAATCAATATATAGTATCCAATCAAAGTTACAATGCTACAAAAAATCAACCATTCTTCACTATAATCAATCCAAATTAAAGAAATTTACCAATTTAATTTTTCAGATAGATGACTGAGATCGGAAAGAATGATTACACTTAACACCAGCATCACCAACGATTTCGATCGCCATACTCGTAGAGACACCAGTGAAGCCATAAGGGAGACCATAAGAAAGATGGGCATAGCCATCAAAGAGGCAATAAGATTTAGCCTTAGGGTTAATCCTAGTACTAATTATAATAGCAATAATCAAACTGTAAATACCCAACACTCCTGCCATGACCACCGACACAATAGACTTCATCACCAGTTCTGGCCTCATCACCAACACACCTACTCCACTTTTCGCTGTTTCATATACAGCTCCCATACCTACGATACACCCAATTAAAACCCCATATCGGAAAGCCAAATAAATAGCCAAATAAATCACTAAAAAACTAGATTAATTTGATATGTGTTTGGTTCTTATAGGAGATGACGAGGGTAGTAGTCACTATAACAAAAATGGCCTACGGTAACACTAGACAGTAGCACTTTTCCTTAAAGTGTTACTGTAGACTATCTATGGTAACACTTGATGTTAAAATGTTACGATAACTGTAAAACTTTCAACACAGTAGAGAGAGAAAAATGACTATAAAGGAAAATGTGAGAGGATGAAGAAAGAAAAAACAGAGCACTAAACTCTTTTCATATTTCATTACGTGAACAGTAAACTATTACAAAATTTATACTGCAAACTATTCTTCTCCACCGTTTGATCACTAAGAGACTAAGTAAATACAAGAAATATGGTTTGTTTGATTTACAACTTGCATCTCCACTTGCAGGCCAACTTGTATCTATTTTGTAACTTGTATTTCCCACTTGCATGCCGTTAGTAGATGATAAGGCCAACTTGTACCTGTTTTGCAACTTGTAGTGCAAGTTGTTTTCCCACTTGCATGCCGTTAGTAGATGATAAAAAGTGTGAACTGAAGTTGGCACAAATTTTACCCTGCATGTGTTTTCTATTGTTTGGATCTTTTTGCTTATGTGAAGCTTGATTTTTTGGTTAACATCGTCTCTCAAGCTGAACTTAAGTAAAAAAAAAAAATAATACTGTAGGGAAAGGTTGAGTAAAAAAAAACTGGATTGATTTCTTTCTGGACTGATTTTCTTTTTCAGGGATTGTTTATTTCTGCTACTGAATCCTCAGAATTTGAGGCTTGACATGCGAAGGATCGTCCCTCAAGCTCAAATAGGGAGGAGGCAGCAACAAGACACAAATCATCACGAATAGTTTTAAACCGAGAACCAGACAACGACTTGGTCAAGATGTCAGCAACCTGAAACTGAGAAGCAACATATTGAACCATCAAGCATTTAAACTGAACCATTTTGCAGACAAAGTGAATGTCAATTTCAATGTGTTTGATGCGTGCATAGAACATGGGATTGGCGGCAAGAGCACCTGCACTGGTGTTATCACACCAGAAAAAAGGAACACCGGGGATGGTAATATGAAGCTCACAAAAAAGATTTTGGAGCCAGGCCACTTCAGTTGAGGCTTGAGCCAAGGCACGGTACTCAGTTTCAGTGGAAGAGAGAGCTACCACCTACTGTTTTTTTGGAACTCCATTGGATTAAATTAGACCCAAGAAAGGGACAATAACCTCTGGTAGATTTCCGATCAGACAAATTACTTGCCTAGTCGACATCCGTATATCCTTCAAGGTGCAAGGTAGAACTCTTTCAAAAGGTAAGGCCATGACTCATAGTGCCCTAAAGATAACGAAGAACATGCTTATAGGCTTGCCAATGATTAGTTGTTAAAGCTTTTAGGAATTGGCTCAGCTTATTAATAGCAAAAGATATGTCTGGTCTAGTCATTGTAAGATACTAGAGAGCACCAATAAGACTATGATACAAGGAGGGCTGATCAAAAAGAGGTCCATCATCAAACTGCAACTTAGAACCAAACACCATGGGGGTAGAACACGGGTTGCAATGTTGCATACCAAAATGCTGGAGAACTTCTTCAGCATACTTTTGCTGATTTAGTTGAAGACTATAAGGTGTATGAATGATAGAAATGCCAAGGAAGTAGTGGACAGGACCAAGAATCTTAAGGCCAAAGGTTTCATCCAAACAGGTGACAACATGTTGAATAAGAGAAGCATTTTACTAGTTAATAGGATGTCATCTACATAAACAAGTACGTAGACAATTGTAGTATCTTGATGATAGTAGAACAGACTGGAGTCTGATGTAGAATTAGTAAAACCGTGACCAACCAAGGCTAACTTAAGCTTGTCAAACCATGCCCAGGGTGCTTGCTTTAGCCCATATAGGGCTTTGTGAAGTTTGCAAACATAGGATGGTTTGGAAGAATCAACAAACCCCTTTGGTTGAGACATATACACAGACTCGGTAAGGTCGCCATTGAGCAAGGCGTTGTTAACGTCAACTTGTTGCACTTCCCATCCATTATAGATAGCAAGGGAGAGTATAACTTGAATAGTGGAAGCTTTAATAATAGGAGAAAACATCTCAAAATAATCAATGCTAGGAACCTGATGAAAACCTTTCGCGACAAGCCGCGCTTTATATCATTAAAGACTTCTATCAGCATTTAACTTGACCTTAAAGACCCATTTATTCCCAACTAAGGTCATCTCATCTGTATATAGGACTAAAGTCCACATATGATTGGCTTCTAGTGCATCAAACTCGGCTTTCATGGCTTTGAGCCAAAGAGGATGTTGAAATGCATTTGCAACAAAGGAAGGTTCTGTATGATTTTCTGGAAGGATGGAACTAATGAGAGCTTTTGATTTATGTCTGGTTATCATGGGATGGACATTTTGAGTGGGATGGTGAGATGAAGGAAATGAGGGTGAAGGTGCTGTAGTATGGTAACCTCGAAGGTCAACCTTTAGCTGAAATGAGGGAAGGTGCGGGGAGGTGTTGATGACAGGTGTTGTGGAGGTAACATAATTAGGAGTAGTAGATGTAGTGGAGGACGGTGATAGTCGAGAGGAATCTGGCACAGGCTGTTTTAGAGAAGAAAAATCAACTGGAATTTTCCAAGCTGTGGACAGTTTGTGGTTGTGGTAAGAGCAGTTATAAGAGTAAAATTATGAGCAAAAGGGAAGACTTCCTCATTAAATTTTACACTCTGAACAGTGTATACCTTGCCATGAGCATTAAGACACAAATATCCCTTATGATATGAGCTATTACCTAAGAGAATACATTGCTCGGAATGGAAGGCAAACTTATGTTTTTGGTAGGGTCTAATGAAAGGAAAGCATTGGCACCCAAAGATCCGAATAGCATGGTAGTCTGGGGACTTGTGGAAGAGCTTTTGAAAGGGAGTTTGATTATGTAGAACCACTGTAGGTAACCTGTTAATTAGGTACACAGTCATATGGAATGCAAACCAATAATATTCAAGTAGCATGGAAGCTTGGGCCAACAATCTTAACCCCGTCTCAATCACATGCCGATGTTTACGTTCTATTTTACCATTTTGTTGGTGTGTGTGAGGGCATAGATGCCTAAAATGTATTCCTTGTTGAGCAAAATATATAGCTAAAGGGCAAAACTCTCCACTCTAATCTGACTGAAAGGCCTTTATTTTCTTGTCAAATTGCTGAGCAACCAGTTGTACAAACAGTTGTATTATATTGTTAACTTCAGATTTGAGCTTCATTGGATAGATCCAGGAGTACCAAGTGTAGTCATCAACCAATAGTAGGTAATATCTATAACCAGTAGCTAAACTAACAGGGATAGGTCCCCAAACATCTGCAATATCAAGCTCAAATGGCGTATGTGTTTGTAAATTGGAAGAAGGAAAATGACTTTGATGAAGTTTCCCATATTGATATGCTTCACAAAAACTAATTCTGTTTAAGCTATGATCTTTTATATTCAAATTTGTAACAAGAGTGTTAAGTACAGAGGAATGAGGATGACCAAGTCTTCTATGCCATAACGTCCCCACTTTATCAATAGTTGAATGTAAAGATTCATTATTTGCTATAGTAATAACTGGACATGAAGGACTAGGACTAGACGAGTTATTTAAATTTGCAGTGATAGATGTAGCAGGCTTTGAACTGATGGAGGAGTTTGCTGTATTTAAAAACACTTGAAAAACCTACAGTTGTGGAGATATTACTATAGAGGACTCAGCCTGTTGATTGTGGAAGCCAGTTGGAATGTCAAGCTAATAGAGTCCATTATGTACATAGCCTTTAAGTAGAATCACCTGTGATGTCTTGTCTTTAACAACACATTCATCCACAGAAAATTCAACAACCACATTGCTGTCACGTGTAATCTTTGAAATACTTAGAAGATTTTTTGTTACTTGAGGTACACAGAGAATATTTTTAAGTTGTAAGGACTTGTTTATGCAAGAAGGAATAAGGGTCAAACCTGTGTGAGAAATGCCAAGACATTTACCATTGCCCATTTGAAGAGACTCTGAACCATTGTATTGATTTTTCAAGGAAAGATTCTGTAAATTTGGGGTGATATGGTGAGTCGCTCTTGAATCAATATACTAAGTGGGATCTGCTATAGTGAGTGGAGTGGCTATTGAAGCTGTTGATTTTCCAGCTGAGCAGTTTTTCATATGTGTTTCTCCTGAAGGTTCACAAGATAACTATGTTTGATCTGCATGAAAGGTTGAATAGGTGTACTGAGACTAATTTGCTGGTGCTAAGTTTTGAAGTTGTACTGGATTGTGACTTATAGGTGAGGAGATAGAAGGAAACTGATTTGGACCATGGCTAAAGTATGGCTGCTGTGTGTTAGAGTAGATGCCCTAGAGCCAATCAATTATTGTAGAATTGACTCTTTGTAATAATGTTCATTAATCAATAAAAGGCATTTTATACTATATCGCGTAAATCATCATTTTATGTATTGATATATGTCCTTAGAATGGTAGAACCATGACGAGGGTATCAAGTGTTTCAAATCTTGATAGTGAGAACCCTATGAGCATATATGGTGGTCATTCTAGAAACGTCCATAGCCCCAGTATTATTCTAAAGAAATGGCACAGATAATACGGTAAAACTATCATAGTGTTAAATGACCCTGTCGAAAGGCAGTGACTAATCTCACTTGTCAAGGTTGTTTGGTGACAACCTGGTGCAACACATAGGTGCTTATTGTAGGCAAGTTCATTGGACTGACCCACCAAAGGATTCCATATGGATGATAACCCCAGTGTCTATGGAACAAATCCTCTAACGAATGGTGGTGTATGTGATCCTTAGACTTGAGATCACTAGAGCGCCTTGTGCACTGATTGGTGTAGTTTGACACTAGCCTAACACAGTTCTATTCAGAGCTGTCAATACGATA